TAGGTAGTGCATAGAGCAAGGTAGGTAGTGCGTATAAGATATCAAATACCTGTACTTCACTTTGTTCTCTCTTGTAGTGGTATCAAGGTCCTCTACCCAGCTGGGGTACTCCTTCCCTAGGCTGGAAACCCAACTGGGATATTCTGTTTTACCAGATTGAGAATGGGTTTTCCATGAGGCAGTTTTTGGAGATGTCACTGGTAATACCTTGCTGGAATATGATCCTAATAAAAGAAAAGATTGAAATCCACTAAGAGTCAATAATATTAAAGAAAAGTGTATGGTGCAGCAAGTTTTATTTCCTTTTTCCTACTTTTGAAGAGAGTAGAATGGTAACATTTTTCAAGCTTTTAAGAAGAACTCTTCTAATAAAAACAATATCCCTACAAGAGAGTGCACAATCAATTTAAAACACTTAAAGGTCATGTGGTGCACAGTATCTGTTTCTACATGACTCCTCTCATGTGAGCTGAACATCTACAAATAGCATGTTATTTTAATGGTTTAGCTAAGAGTTTATCAACAAAAATCATAAATGCCTTAATACATGTAGATCTGGTTGGTGAATAAACAAAATTGTATAACAATTTCAAGGTGCAAAGTTGTGACCAGCTTGTTGCAACTGCAACTGAAAATTGAGTAGTGACAAGTATAATTTACAAGCAAGTCACCAGCCCCCTGCTGACTTGCCATCTTTTCAATGTTCTGATCCTACACTAAAGAAATTGATTTCATCTCAATCCAAAATCAATATTTCATTTGTGGTTTCCTGAAAGATACAATGTATAATAATTATAATAGTAATTTTATTTGACTGTACTCTCTCATCTTATAACATAATTATATTAGCAATCTGACATTTTTGTATTTGGTTGAGAGGTAAACGTTTTGTAAATCAAACTTTTTGACAACCAAATTTTTCCATTTTGTGGCTAAAGAAAGGTGCCCAGTTGCTATTTGACCCCCCATAGAAAAGATGATTTTGAACTCTGCATTATTCACCTGATAGTGTACCTGGAGCTGCAGGTTTACTTCCTTTATAACTGCTCAACAAAACCTCTGTTTCCACAGTACCAGCATTACTATCTAGGTCAACTACTGATGAACTAGGGGAAGGGAGAGTAGAAATTTCATCATCATTGCCAATGTAGGAGTGGTGACCAGGTCCAGGCTGAGGGTTCATATTTTCTTCATCTGAATGAAATAACAAGGAATGAATGATAAACAATTAATAATACACCAAACATTTTTTCACATGCTATAATGCAGCATTGACAAATTCCTTCAATTACTGAGGCTCTACAAATACATGCATTGCAGTACTTTAGATAATCAAAATGTATGTGGAAGTTTACCTTATCATAATGTTGGTGTTTATTAAGGACAGTCTACCACAGTTGCTGTAAAGTCTGGATTTCACTTTCTCATTTATAATTACAGTCAAACCACAAGGAATAGCAGGATTACCACTTTACACAGGTTGACCATTAAATACAGGTTCCATAAATTAGGAGTCAAACATAATTTAAAAAAAAAACCTTTTGTCCCAACAGCCCTAAAAAGAAAGATAATCTGCTGCACAATGAGGACATTTGAAATTAAAGTGCTAACATTGATTTCTGGATATAAACATGAAATAATTTGACTTGACACTTAAACTAAGTTTTATTTGAGTGGTTCCTGTTCCTGTTCAATACAGATGAAAGACAATAAAAAAAGGCTGTTGGGACTCAGTCAAGGGTGAGTGTGCTAATGCATAATAGAGTTGTAAACTACAGCACATTAAGGGGAAAAAATTTTGGCACCAACAACCAACTGCCTAATACAGGGTCATTGCTTAAAATTGTGCCACTCAATACAGGTTCAACCATAAATTTAATCGGCAAATTTTTACATAGGATGAAGAATATTTTGTGTAGTTTTGCAATTGAAAAAGAAATGATGTACACAAAGCACCCGTAAAAAATAACAAAATAATGTACTGTAATGCAATAATCATCATTATATCCTTCATGCATAAATTTGTGAGGTGTATTTGATCATATTGCTTTTGTCATGGATAAAAGGGCTGAAAACTCGGTGTGGTTTTAAGTGAAATCAATTTTTTAATTCAACAGATAAAACTTTATTTTTTAGATATTCTTGTAAGTGTGCAATTAGTTGCATTGCCTCAGGCTCTGTATATGTTGAAGTATATGTTAAAGGTCCCACTATCTTAAAAGTTGATGTGTATCCCTGGGTATGTCATCTTTTTGTCTTTCCTTCAGGTTTCTAATATGGTTCCGAATTCCACGTTGTAAACAGCCTTCCTTTTCTTGCACTTTACAATTTTTATCCCATCCTCACCTTATTTTTTCTCTTATTTTCTGTTTTTAATTCTAAAAATTTTGATCAATTTTTGTGCCATGGGTTCAATTATTCATTATTGGCTTTTAAGCAGTGCTGTCCTGGATGTCAATTTCCCTTACTGTATCTTTTTCTTTCTTCTTTCTTTCTTTTTTTTTTGGCAGGGGGGAGGGTGTGTATCTCAAAGAAATTCAAGGTACATGTTTTTTCTGAGAACTTCATTTAGCTTTATCTGCATGACAATCAGTTCTGCAAGGATCAGGTTCACATTAGGGGGCTATAGGTTTCTTTGTTAAAGCAAAAGGTAATGCAATATAATAGCAAAAAAGCTTTTTCTCATGAAAATTTTAATGCACTAAGGATCAGAGGGTTTTGCCTCTTTGGAACATCTAAAATGCCCTTGTCCTGAATCACTCTCAAATGTTGGCCACTCCCACACTGTATGCTATAGAAGATGGTAAGAAGATTTAAAACCTTATGAATAGCCTTAATGGTTCAACTTGAAATGACCGAGGAGCTAACAACAGAAAATGCAACAAGGCAGTGAGTGGTCCCTGTTAACCTTGTAGCATTTCTTAGCATTTTGCCCACAGATGGCCATGATCCACTAATGTTCCATGATGGAGAAAAAAATTAGAGTAATGGTGACATAAGAAGAGACACAACAGACGTTGACCCTTACCTCCGCACCAAACACGAACTTTAGATTATGTGCTCTAAATGGAATATGGAACTGAACTTTCTTAATAGGATGTTAAAAAAAAAAGCAAAAACAAAAACACACACACCAAAAATAAAAAAAAATCAACCAGGTTTTTTTGATCCAAGGCATGCTGACTGTTACACCACCATATTCACAACCAAACAACACCCCCTTCTAAAGCTGAAATTAAGAGAACTTGCAGTTTCAAAAGGATTCTCTGGGAACCCTAATTATGGATTCTTTCAAGTGGTATTGTTTAATACTACTACTGTGTGTGTTTACACATTGTATGTCAAAATGTTGGTTTTTCATCAAAAATTCTCTGGCTGTCTTCTGATTTTGCTGAGGACATCCCTTAATCAAGAAGATAAGATAATGACTAACTGCTACAGCAACAGAAATTGAGAGGGTGCACACGCATTCTGTAAGGGAGGATGTTACAACATAGCTGCTTGCTTGTAGATAGAGCTAGAAAAAGAACACGTCTTACGTCACCTTTGTGCAAGTTTTGTGTACACATACATTGATAGTCTTTACAAATAAAATCCTCAACTGTAATTCTGAACTAAACTGTAACTCAACTGTTATTCTGAATTTGACATCTCATAACAAAAGATTTTCTTTTCACGTCTGGTCAGTATGTCATTCGCATACCAATAAACAAAAAAAAAAGTGTCGGCGATCATTAGCACATATCACTTCTCCACTAAGCAATTAAAAGCAGCTAACTATAATTTCCAAACCTGTAACAAATCCCAATAACGCAGATTTACCCTGATCTAACAGTATACCTATTTCACTACTCTTCGATGAAATATTTAGAAGTCAAAAACAAAACTACAAGGAGATGTGACTTGAATTGTTTTTGGTTCATTGTTTGGGTTCGCGTCCGTGCTTAATAATTTATCTTCACCTAATTAATTACCTGACCTGAGATCGAAGACGTTCAGGCCATAAGGCTTATTTTCTTTGTCATATTCTTGTGATAATTTTACCGCTATTCTAATCTTGAATAGCTCCGATTGCTTCAGCATGAGAGTAATTTTTGACTGTACTGCTTCATTATCTGTTTACCCAAGCGTTCAAACGATAAACCGCATATTTGTTGTAGAATCTTGTAAGATCCCAAAAAGAACATCTTAAAATTCATACACTTTTCACTCTCCAGAACAGTTGAACATCTTCCATGTTTGAGATATTTCCTCGCTGCGGGAAATGAATGGTTAAACTGACTCAAAATACCAGAAATCTTAAATTCTGCTAGTAGGAATTCATAATCGAGTGGCAAGAGAAGGTTGCCTAGGACGCGGACGCCCGCTGCCTACAACTTTATGCTCATCTACCGTAAAATCAATTTTTCAGGCAGACTTCGCCGATGAACAGTTAAAGTTGGTAACGGTGAATCGGAACGACCACCGAAAATCAGTGATATTTCTCATCTTACTCGATGTGAATTGAGACTGAACAGCTTACCTGAAGATCGAGGCACTCTTGTAGTAGTTCTGTATCCAAACGGTGTTACTTTACTAGATAAGTCTTTTGCATAGGCATTGTTTACCCACGCTAAAAGTTCATCCACTTTTCTCGCTGGCGATTTACTAGGAGAACTTCTTAGGTATCTTTCCTGTACATCCATAAAGTAAAATTTCGGCGTCGGAGAAAGTAGGTCGGAAGGACGCCGTCGATAAGTCGTAGAGCTTCGGCCTCCTTCAAATTGAGCGATGTAAGCTTCTAGAGCTTCAGACGCCGATTTGTAAACTTTGTCATCAAGCGCTAGGCGACTTTTGAAACCCTGATTTGGCTCATTAACTTTGCCAGTAGCACTATGAGAGGAAAAATTCATGTGAGTCTGAAAACAAACACCTAGTTGTATGAATAATGAGTAATTCCGAAGTCGTTGCGATTCGAATGATGGCGGCAAAACAATGTTCAAGTTCACTGCGCATGTCAAAAGGCACTTAGTTAGTGAAAGCGAGTTTTGCCTCCTCTTCCCTGTCCACGTCTAAATGAGCTAGAGCACGCTTACGGGGAACATTTCAGCCCAGTTACCAAGATCTCAAACTTTCGCTTAGAGAAAGTGGTGAAGCAAGAATGGGAGAACCGAGAAAGCCATGTTTACCATCCTCATATTAAGAGACCTTAAGACCAAATGTGGACACGCTTGCGTAAGCTGACCATAGCGAGGAAAGCCAAAATCATATCAAAGACCAGCAGGCTACGAACTGATTTTATACTGCAAATTAGCTTTGAGAAGGGGGAAGGACTGGACAGAGGAAAATTTGCCTCACGCCACTTGCTTCCTTTGAACTGCGTTCGGGTAAAAATAGACGAAGGAAGATCTTTCTTTAATTCAAACGACCCAAGAAAATGTCATCTTGTGAACGGAACTAAATCAATAGCGAAGAATCAAAGACTCGTGCGATAGCCTAATTATGAACGTAAGTTAATACTATTGGGCCTTTAGAAGCTGAGGGCCGAGTTCAATTAGGAGTTACCCTGCAATCGTTAGCTACCTCATCAGTATTTTCTACGCTGGTCAATTTTTATTGTTTGATTCAAGCTTAAACTGATCATTACTCATAAAAATTGACTACAAGACACCAGCCTTTATGCCTAGGTGCCATATGCAAGTAACACGTATTTGAGCGCGGTCCTATGTGGGTGTCTTTTAAATCGATCGTCGGGTCAGGGCAATAGTTTTTAGGTGGATTTTGAAGAGGGAACTACCGGTAAAAGTAGCCGCTAATTTCACAACTCTTCGCAGCCTAATTAGCTCACAAGATACCTGGGTATTACCCAAGTGAAAAAAAGTGAGAAAAATTAGCTAATTTAATTTTTGGGTGTTTTCTAAAACAATTTTCAAGCACACTATCACAAAATTTGAGAGTCTCAAAGGGGTTAACCGTTCGCCGTAAAACGAAAAAAAATGTAGCCGTTGGGCGTAAAAATTGATATATTTTAGCCCTTAGTCGTGAAAAAAGTAAACCTCAAAGATTTTTCTTTAACTGAGACGGAGTAAAATTAACCGCTAGCCGTAAAAGACCCTCAAAATTTGCATATTGTACAACATAATGAGTATATCCAATATACTCATTGAGAATATCCAGTTTATGGTCCAATGTCAACATTCCTGTACCGACGAAACCTGCATTAACTCACACGCGATACAGCTAGCTAACAGCAAACACAAATATAAACGTAAACATGGAAGTGTGCTACTCAGCCACAAACTTCTTACAAAATGGCCACGTTCAGTAAAAACGTATCTAAGACTAAGAACGTCACGTGGGTTGAGGAAAGTTTTTTTTCCGACGCGTTAGGAACCGTGCTGCCAGAATCATCTTTCCTGAGTGCGTTCATTGAATTTATACTAGAAACATTGTGTCAATTGTACCAGAAACACAACAGAGGATGACATCTTTTATATTTTTCTTTGTTTTTTTTATTTTATTTAGTATGCCATTACAAACGTACCTCTCTTACCACACGGTTTCCTATAAATTGAAGGCCAAATCTAAGTTTAAGTCAGAAAACAAAAACGCTTTAGGTTTTGAAGCAATTATCATCAAAATCTGTTAAGGTACGTTTTTAACAACAGGAACGCTTTATAAGACAGTAATGACAACAGCTTTATAAGTTCAAAACATTTTACAAAGGGTGCCCAGGGCAGCTGTTAAAATTGTTAAGAAAATTAAAGGTTAATATCCTATTATCAGCATTCTTTTATAAGTTTAGTGTTTTTTTCTTCGGGACTATTTCTCGTCAACAGATGCCCGCTTTTCTTGCGTGGCATCCAAAGACCGATAGATAAGTATTTCATGCAATAGCCGCAAGCCCGTTGGATTCGTGATAGTGCGGTCGTTATGAAGACAAACAACGATTCCAATTATCAGGTGCCTACAGTTACGAAGCTTGCGATGAATGAATGACTTCAATACACAAAAGGTTTGCGGTTGCTTGTTGCTTCTGTAGTAGAATCAGTATATTGAAACTCTGGCACAAAATGGGAAAGAAAAACCTCATTAACAGCTATCTTTCCAATCAGTATTCCGCATGGTATTGAACTGTACTTCTCTAGAGAATCTTATCTCTAGTTCCCTTAGGCACGAGGACACTTTAATGCGGAGGTCAGTTCTGCTACCTTCCGAAATAACTCAATTAACAATCATTTTTGCATTTAAATACGGGAGCTGTTTCATAACAAAAATGATAATACATTTCGCTAGTTGTCTGTAGGAGAGCCGCCTAAATTTTCTCGGCCCTAATAACATTACACACTGAAACATGACACAATCATTGATTGGAGCTTGCACCTGTCCACACGACACGTTATTACTGCTGTGGACACTTTACTAATCAATTTAAAATAACTTTGAGTAAGACATTTAGCTGGATTGAGTTCTTATATTTCCTATTATTGAATTATAACTGTTTTAACTTTGATTTCTAAGGGTGGTGAATGAAATTATCCGAAGACTAATATATGTTGTTTGATGTGCAGTTTTCTCTAATTAACCTAGCACGTGGTTTGATTGACTTTAAACTGGCTTGGTTTAGTAAAATATGGAGAAGAACCCTCGCTAAGTAACTATTTTCAAAACGCTAAAAAAACAGGGTAACACTTTTTCCTTTTCTAACGCGAAAAAGTGATAATTTGAAAATTCAACTGCATGGATCATTAATGCACAGCAGCTCCCAAGTTGGTACAGAAGTTTACATTTCTCTCGTTCTGGATTGCTCCTCATTAGAGTTATCGAGGGTGCTGACTATGAACTAATTAACTCTAAAATAACAGCGATCTTATTTGTTTACTAAGAGAACAAAGTATAGGACAATGGCTAATTCTACCACTGTTGACTGATCGCTTATTACTCTTCGATTGAGAACCAAAACCTCATGATTCTGATGTGCAGAGAAGCTCTGAGTCGAATGATTGGATGTGCTACTTAAAAAATACATGCTTATGTCTGCTCCTAATGTGTCATGCAATCGGTTTTTAAATAGATGATCTGATAGGAAAAAGTGAGTGGTAATGAATTCATAATCAAACTATACTGGAGAGATAACAACAAAACTACTGACCGAAACATATCCACCCATACTGATCAGCAGACAATAGCAATACCCTTTTTCATTTCTTTTGTCCCCCAAACTGTTTTCTTTGTTTCTCAATTTCATTCGAAGGACCGCGTAATGAGTCACGAAAACATGAATTCGGCAAATTTTACCAAGGATTTTACTCCACTACAGCACTCGAAAGCACACGTTAAACGAATGACGATTACGCGCATTTACTAAATTCACTTGAACAGCAATAACACAAAACGAAAAGGGTGAAGTAAATTAAATGGGTCGCTGATGTAGCAGCTTTCCCCATTGTTAAATAGGTGGATAGATAGAAATATAACTAAACAAACTTCCACTCCTTTAGTTAGTGTTGACGACAGATGCATCTACATTCCCCTATGTTTGGTAATGTTATCATATTGGCCGATGCTTCCCCATCTGTATCGCCTTATGTCCAACCGAATTGATTTTAAATACACGGCCACAGATTGAAAAAAGATGATGCCTTTTTTTTTTGAGCTAGAGAGCGTGAGTTACCTAAAGCTTTATGTGAAGACTTAAATAGTTCATGGAAGTTCTTGTTTTTTGTAAATCAAAGTCGACACAAACTGGACAGAATGCACATGATTTCCCAGTTTATTGTAACACTGATCAGTTTACTCATAAGTTTACATAGTATTATTTCCGATAAATTCGTAAAGTATCATGACGGTAGTAACTTGTCGACATCGCCAGTGTCCTACGTCAATCGTCTTCCTGTGCTTGATAATCGCAATCCAGATATCGTGCGGCCTCACACAGCGTTCGACGGTAGCTTTGCTCCTAGGAACAGCAGAGATAACGTTTTTCCCGTTGAAGCGAAAGTCTCTTTTAAAGCGGAAACATAAAAATGGTTATTGGTCCTTGACGACGTTAATCTTAGGGAATATATTTCGGATAAAGGTTATCTTACATTAATAACTTGATTTAGATGTATTTTCACTTTGAAGTCTTTCACGAAACGCGTTGAATATGTGTTGTTACAAACGCATTTTAAGTTTGTTGAATGCCTTTACTCCATTTTCAGTACCTTTAGGTATACGTTTGGTCAATAAGGACATTTTTCTTTTTCCCACCTATGTGGAAATTCTTTTGAAAGGGCAGCTGGGGAGTAAACAGTAAAAATACGTGAATCATCGTGAAAATCAGGCAGTTACCTTATTGAGAGCGACGCTCTTAACTTTCTTGATACTTCTTCCTTTCGAGGTGCTCCATGGTACCGCAGCATCACTCTCCTGCATTCCTGAGGCCACAATTAGAATGGCAACTATCACAACTACAGCCTTTAAGTTCATCCCTTTTTATCTGGTCTCGACAGGTTATTCTTTGGTTCTATGCACACTTCACACTCTGGTTATAGCGCCTTTTTCCTTGGGTATTTATATATTTTTTACGTGTAGAAATGATTCGACACGAACATGTTAATTATTGCTGATTGACAATAGACTTACCGCAAGTTATCATAATTATTTAACTAGAGTGGATAACAAAGGTGAAAATAACTATTATCAGCATTTGATATCATGAAAAAGAAACATTAATAATGTACGATGAGACTGCTAAAAACGTCAAATCAAAGAATCCGTTATTACTGAGGAATAACGCCTGAAATGTTATGATTTTAGTTGGAGTCCTCACTAAACTGCTGTCAGTTACGACGAGAAACCTAAGAAAAGACAACCCTATTTAAACAAGAAAATGTTATCCAATATTTTAATGTGGCTTGCTTTTTCTATTTTTGATGAGGAAATTTGTCCAAATTACGTTTTATTGCAATAGTTACTGGGAGCGCACTTGTTTTCATGTGGCAGATTAACACTTGTGAAACCTTAACCATACTCATTTAATGACTCGGTACCGAAAATGCTTTGTAAGATTTTTACAACAGGGTTCCAGGGTTATTTCAGCCATTTATTCATCATAAAACACCGAAAACTGACAGTTCAGAGTCTTAGACAATCAAGATGAAACCATGCCTATCTCCAATTCTCTCTGTACAAATCGTACAAATCCAGCAACGATATAGGCGAACGTTAGATTAAGATGACCTTTTTCCAGTTTTCTCCTGGTATTAGCCGTTTGCGCCGGCTAAAACAGCTTTCCTGTGAAAGACCCTAATCATATGCAGGGTATCGAGGTTGTAATCCGCCGCTGACTTAATTTCCATTTTACGCGACGAAAAGGGACTTGTTTCAAGATGGAAGTCCTGATATCAACTTCCTTTGTATAACTCGCTTTTTCTTACAAGAAATGGTCTTGTTTACTTTTCTATAAGTTTCTTAAGATACTACAAGTAAAATTTTGTTCCTTCTCACTCTTGTAAGACATGCGTTTTTCCATGGGTGCCGTTAAAGTTTAACATTTTTAGCCCTATAAGACCACAGATGAAATAGGCCAAGACTGAACGAAATATGTCATTTCAAAAACTACCAACTCCTGAAAATATTTTCAAAAAGATTATGGGTCCGAGAAGTTTTCAAGTCTTTACCGAAAGGCACGCACGCCAGGCGCTCGAGAAAACCACTTTCAGAATCATTTTCCAAATTACTCAACAACCCTGCTGCTCTCTGAAGACGCTATTTGTCATTGGGTGAAAAGCTTTAGAATGCGCGAGGCAGTCAAAATAAAGACGCTGTGGCCTGTTGTTAATACTTTTGTACCAGCTGTTGGTTTGCTTTATGAGAACGTAAATAATGACTATTCGTAACTATCCGCTTCCCGACTAGACTTCAATGCTAGATAACACTCAAGGATATCAAAGAAATATATATGGAGTGACAATTAAGACGCTTGGTTTCCTATCAAAATTGAGTTGCCACACAAATCTAGCACTTGCCAACTCTTTGAGAATTCAGTGAATGTTTTGAAATATATAACCAAACCAAAGGACTCATTTTCTTTTCAGTTGAAAAGTAATGGTGGGAAAAACTCATGCAATGATTCTAAAAAGTTTTCCTGCCATTGTTATGTAAAAAGTTTTGTTCATAAAAACTCAAAGAGGAAAAATGCGTTATAGTTTTGGTTTTACTTATTTGATATTTCCTTATGTTTAGAATTCTGCGACGTGTAGCCTTTACGGCGTTCTTGCCGTGGGGAGTTCCGAATACTCAGTTTTTCTATTTATCTTGGTTTAGCAGCAACCTTCATTATTTGTACGTTGGCAAAATGTTTTGCATCAGTCAGCTCACTGTTTTTCATATAAATTTACCATATTATATGGTGATTGCCGTAATCTTTCAAAAGATTATTAATGGTGATGAGATTGACGGGAATAAGATCTTTCGTCGTGTTTTAATAAGAAAAATATGAAGCCAGTTTTCAAAAATGAAAAGCATTTGATGCCTCACACCTTTTTTACACTTGCTTTTTTTAAATATAAGATCGTAGGCCACAGACCAAACGGAATTGAAAGTTTCTGCTCTTTATCTGGTTAGCTTTCTCTAGACTTCGTTCGTAAACAATAATTCTTTATTTAACATAAAGATTTTTATCTTTTGGATATCAAACGAAATCTTACTATATGATGTTTCATGAAATATTTAAAGAGGCAAGAATGCAAAATCGGAGACAAAAGTACACATTTTAGGAATAATGTTTCAAAAGTGACGAAATTTCCTTTGGAAATGCTTTCTAGAAGTTGATAATCACTGGAGACCGACATCTGTGGCTGGTCTCCTACTTGTTTATTACGTGTTTAAAATAAAGATTATTCGAAAAAAAGTTACTAAAACAAAGCAAACGCGATTTTTGGAAGAGACTGTTAAGTACCGTTATCAGTCCACCTTTGCATACAGTCCCTTCATTATCGTCGTTAATTGCAAAACTTGCATGTTTTTGGGTTAATGATGTTTTTTTGTTTCAGTTTTAAGTTAAAAAGTTGTCGTATCAAAGCCAATTAATCTTAGTAATCTATTTTCGTGTATATTTATCGAAATTGTTTTATAAAGTATTTGAATGAGGAAATTTTTGTTACGAAAAGAAACCTTCACTAATTAACATCAAAACAATAACCTAGCAGTGAAAATTGTTACAGGCGCTAAGACCCCAGAACTACTTTCATTTGGGCAGATGTTACCCGACACTCAGTGAACTGTTACATTATTATTCCACCATCCTACCATTTCATTACACTGGGAAAACAAGTACGTTAAAAATATGCGTAATACATTGTAAAACAGGGTCAAAATACGGGACGAAAACGGAGCAACAAAGACTTTGAGGCCGCGCTGAAAGAGGCTTAAGCATTTCAGCAACGAACATTTAAGCGCATCAGATCATAAAGAACACTAATGGTTTCTAAGTGTTGTTTTTCGTCTTTCGCGCCTTGTCCGATCGATACGATGCCCAGATAAGGCCGTAGGGTGTATTTCGAAAACTAGAAACCCAAATACTAGAAAATGGAGTTACTAGCGGAATAGTGAACCCGTCATTCAATGACACTTTGCCCGTATTTTTACACGCCCCTCCGTGGCTCGGAAAACACAATACGTTACAACTCGCAAAATATCTGCGCGTATTCTATGACAAACCATTGAATAAGGTGTAGACATCCGATCTTTGTTGAGTACACGGAGTATTCACTGAAACAAGCGTCACCTTAAGGAAAGATATAAAAAAAACTCCAAAGAATGAATTTGAACTAAATAGAACCAGGATGGTAAAGGATACCCCGTAAATGACGAGATAAAAATATTTTCCCAAAATTGTTGGTGATATCAGCTGTGACTCAGCACCTTCTGAGGGTGACATGATGATAGCAACACACTTACCGTCATTCAAGAGTTTTAGGCCAAGTTTATTTTTACTATGAGTTTAGTCATTCTTTCTAAAAATTCACACAGTTCTTGAAGCTTTTCTCTTGCTGGGCTAACAAAAGAGAGCCGAGGGCTTTTTTTTTATTCCAATATCAACTAGCATTCTATTTTTTCACTGGGACTCTGATCCATCTTCCAATACTCGACTACAATCAATGTCACGTACAGCTGCGCACAGGTTCCGCTTGTTGTCGAGTGGAAACTTCTAGAAAGAAGAAAAGCAGGCTGTTAGGCTTACAGGGTCCTCCTTTACAGCTTTTCAAATACTGTTTTATACACACGACGAATAATATGTTCCACTTTTACGTTGAGTCTACCACCAAGACTTCCATAGTCATTTTGTAATTAGTAAATTTGTTGCTAGCATTAAAAGGGAGCATGATTAACATGGTTCTTGGGATCTTGCCACTCTAATAGGTAAATTGAAGTACCAAACCTAAAGACTTAAAGATAATTTTTCGGTATTCAAAAACCATTTATAATAGTACCTTCCTATGCAACTCATTATCTTGATTTTCTCTCTTGGCCTTTTTGGTGGGAGTCTGCCAAAGTGTTCCGATTCCTTCAACTTCCTGTACTTGTAAGGTCAATATCACCACATAAAAAAGCATCAGGATACAAACTGACTTCATCGTCAAGGATGTGTGTTACCTTTAGTTGTCTTTTGCAGGCTGCGACAGTGTTTGAAGTTGTGTTTCAATTCGTTTCAGTGGATATTTATAAAGGCATAGGTACCATTCAGTCGGCGGGGTATAATCAGATTTGTCGCGTATCAGTAGAGTTTGGAGCGTCAGCTACTTCCTAAGCGCTTTTATGAGAACATCCCTGCCGAGGAGAAACAAAGCATGTGCAGCCAGTCCTGTGTGTTTCCAAACATCTGATAACTCTCACTCTGTGGACGGCGACATAATTAAACCACCCACCGACAAGAAGCGCAACTTGCCACTTGTTCTCTATGAATGCTTATCACTAGCTAGTGCTAATAATGAACCACACCTTACACATAGGAAGACAAACTTCAAGTGATTTTTCATATTTTTTTTCATTTTTGCTTCCACTATTCAATAATATATATATATATAGTAGTTACATTTGCCTTTACATTTATTTTACATTCAGAGGTCACCACGAAATGATTCAAAATCATGGTAATATTCATATCCTATCGCTTTCAGTAATCTGGACGAAATATCACACAACGTAAAGTTCCAAGAGCTGCTTTTCGTAGAATTGAAAAGTAGTTTGAAAATATGCTTTCATTTTACACTTGGCTGTTTTCAATAAATCATCATCATTACTACTTCTCCTCTTAAGTGTTTGTAATAATTAATGAGATCTGTTAGTAGAACATCAACGACTCAAGATAACTATCAATACTTCGAGTTTTATGGTCAGGTGTTTTGAATGAGACGCTATGAACACTTGCAATTACCGATAGTCAATCCTCGAAAATTCAAGCAAACTAAATAACCAGCGTAAGGATTCAAACTTGCTTGATCTTATATGTCACATGCACTAGTTACTGATGAATTTCTTTGGAATCTAAATATGTTTGAGATCACACACATGAATTGCAGATAACTGGACATGCAGCTGCAACCCAAATCATAAAATTGTTTTCGATTTCCTTTGAAGTAATTCTGATATCTTTGCGGTCTCGTTTCTTATAAATAAAACACAGAAAATTCAAATTATTTTATTGCTTTTCATCTAAAATTAACTTGAAGTGTAAGCCTCAGGGTCCACCGGTAAGAGACAAACTTAATTGGTTTTCAACTGAAAAAACTGAAGGTTGACATGATATAGTATAACTTAAGAGAGAAACAGCCGGCCAAATTTCAAAAGCTTTCACTCTGAATACGTCTACCAACTGCTGTGACATTGTGTGACCCTATACTATTACTTACTTCTAGAAACCATATTCGCTTAAAAAGAAGGAGAGAATGACGTTGGACATGCGCAAGTCACGATTGTATTTTCTTTATTATGTCTCTATTTCTTCGAAAAATAATGACTATGGACTTTCTAACGAGTTAGCTTAATCGTTTCATTCCTTAGTAGTGTCATTACAACGTTAATAATTCAAACGCACGTTTCAAAACATTTTGCCATCTTTTTAAAGCAGTGACAGACTTATGTCTGCTCTCGCCTACTTTGTGTTTTAAGGTAATTCAAAAATCATTGACATTGCATGCACTCTGAAAATTGTAACTAAGTAAACTAATGTCGGAAATAGGAAGATAAAAATCTAACACACTCCTCATCAGTCAACAACAGAAGGCCGCCAGTCTTAAAATAATCTGTAAATAAGTAGAAGTTGATCTGGAATAAGATCAAGCCTGTCCGCCTGTGGATAACGCAGAACCCCCTGCTGTGGATTCTCATTTCTGTTATTTACCTTTGGCATAAAGGGACCGACATTTTGTTTGCAATATCATTATAAAAAGAAGGAAAATCAACAGAGAGTTAGTTTTAGTGGTTGATCGGGATAGGTAAACAAAAAAAATTGCGAACAATAGAAAAACCTGCGGATCTAAATGAGCATTATTCAAATATTGTTTTGAACCAGGTGCTTAAAGAGTGACTTCCTTTTTTATTTCACAGGATGGTGAAACATTCAACTTCTCCAGGAGAACTCGTGTTTAGTCAAATAAATTTTTAAGTATAAGCTCAGCAACTTGGGCATTTTCAATTACAACCAGTTTCACTACACCACTCTGCGAAATGTTTTTTGGAAGTTTGCATAGACACATTGGGATGATTTTCATGCTTGCACGAGTATCGTTAACTTAACAACTTTTCAGTTAGATTATTGATTGACTGTTGAGCAATTGGCTGCTTATGTCTTTTGTTTCTAATATCCAATGCTTTGATATGCCTTTTTTTTGCGTTCACTAATTTTTAATTCTCGTAAAAATTGGAGAGACAATCTGAAAGTGAACCAATTTCAAAAACTTATTTGTGTGCACATTATAACATTGAAGAGGTCACCTTAATCGTTCCAATGGCAAAAGGGGTACTATATAATGCCGTTAGAGCGAGTATTTTGTCAAGGCGCATATTGTGTCAAGTATCAACGTGCAGTGAAGTCAACAAATAGGTAAATTCAAGTGGCTGAGGATGGCAGCGAAAGTGACAACTTTGATTTTCATTGCTATTACACTGTTACTTCTGATATCTGAGGGTGATGGCTTCACTGGAACAGTTCCAGGGAAAAGGAACACCGCACCTGTAAGTTGTTTAAGAAGGAGAATTTGAAATAAAATGCCAGTCTTGTGTAATATTGCCCATTACTATATTCTGCTACTATCTCTTCTAAAGCTAATCAATAACTTAACTAACATTTGTTCTAACTGAATGCTTAAGTTACTTTTTCCTAATCTGAATGAAAAAGCTTTTCTTCGTTTGAGCTGATTCCGTCTCCCTATGACACCAACAATACAGAAATATGGGTCTTTGCTAAGTTATTTTTTTAACATTAAAGTTATTTAATTTAGGGTGCTTCGCAGAACTACAAACGGAGTTTGTGCACCGCCGCCCGCAGTCTTGGTTGCAAACTGGAGGACGAGACAATGATGAGGAGAGGTTATTTAATGGAATAGTCTGAATCTTCGATATCGTAAAATCGCAAGGAAAAAGATTAAAGAGTAATGATGGAAATAAAACGATTACAAGGTTAAGTTCTAAGTCTGCTCTTCATTTGTCAGCCCTTTTTTAGATCTATTGGTATTCACAAATGTAGAAGCCTAAACGAAAGTATCCAAAAACGATTAGACGTCTTAGGGAACTTCGCACGGCTCATCGTTAAAACCCAGCCAAAATATGACGTAACAGATTCCATGTTATCGAGTGACAGATGACGTCAAAATGTGGTAAGAACAAATAAGAGGCATACAAGCCGCAGCCAAGTGTCATTGACATTCTTACCACATTTTGACGTCATCTGCGATCTATAACTGAACAGAAGCACAGCCGCATGAAATCTGTTTTTATTCTGCGCCTGTTCTACTACAGATCATAAGTGAGAACCAATTAAAGATGTTGAATTCGAAGCTCGGAAATAAAATGAACAATATTTTTTTCGTTTTGACACGAACGTGAGACACGTATTTGACCAGACGCAAAAACATATTTTAATTCATTTCTTAGCTTTCAATTCGCCATCTTTCTTACGCTTTTGCCTCACAAGAAGCTCTCGACATCGTCGATCCTAGTAGGATACATGTCACATATCAACCCAATGGCTCAGTGGTAAAGCCTAAAAGGAGAATCTTTACCAATGATCTGTCGGGTCATCAGTTTAGACCAAAAGCAACGACTGATGTCAATTTTCCCCTACACAGACCATCCTAACGTAAAATTACATCATAGAGATATGATAATTCGGATGTATGTTCATTCTTAGTCGGCCTTTTTCCTTTACAAAATCGACGTTCATTAAAACAGGTAATTGGTTTACTCCATAAATTTATCTTTTGAAAGAGATTTTAGCGAGTAATTCACTTCACCTTCAATGTGAAGACATGATACTCGCTGAACACTCCTCAATCGACTGTTCGATGATACTTTTGCAAGAGAATTTAAACTCTTGATTTGTGTTGTTGAATTGTTACCGCCGTGAAAAAATAAAATAATCGTTTTGATTTTCAATGGAATTGAATTGAATTCTCCAGGATGTTTTCAGAGGATGAATCTTTAAATTCTGATCCCAGATTTTCCTTTACTTTTTTTCTTTTGTGTGATTCAATAGCAAGCCACGGAAACAAGGACAATTAAATGTAGCAACCGTGTTTACCAATCTGCTTGGCCCATCGACGGCTGTTTCCGAAGATGTGCTGTTCAACACACCTTGTTGTCTTTCTGTCCCACAGTCAAAAGCATGTGCACCAGACGCAGAAGATGAATGGTCCTCTGTGATCTGCTGTGTTTTTTTGAGACCTGTTTTGCTGTAGACTAGCTTTTTTTCAGGTATTACAGTGACTGTACAAAGCTTGTCACATTCCGATAGGATTACCTTCCTTATTTCATTGCACTGCGTAATGATGTCAATGTTCTCTTGTGATTTCACCATATTTCTAATACAGATCATGTCAACACAGTTTCCAGCAAGTTTTAGTCCTCCATTAATTCGACATTGATCGAAATCCAAATTACTAACTTCATCTGCTGTAAATTCTACTCTAGCGAAGTTGCATTGTTTAGCGCACACAGTATGTATTTTAGCATCGGCTGACACTCGCACTACATGACAAGGCATGTCGAGTTTCTTTTTCCCTATATTGAGTAGAAGATGCACAACAGACCCACATTTTATCTCGATTGATTTGACTTGCGGTAGGGATATATACGCATCAAGGAGAACGTTACATCGAATATCCACGCAGCACTCTTGGTGTATAGAACCAGAGAACTCTCTGTCTGGGGCGTGATAGTTACACATAAATGACCTTAGTGTTGGACAGTGTACTTGCATGGTTTGCACTTTGCTAAAATCGGTTATCCACAGACACAGATCTGTCAAAACTCTACTGATTTCCACTTGGGAAACTTGAAAATCTACCAGACGTCCCCTGATAGTACAATGTTCAATTCTTCTGTTCATCTGCAGAAGTTTGTCGATCGTCTTTGGTGTAAGTGATTCGCAATTCGCAACCTCAAAAAGTTTTAAAGTTATAGATGTAACATGCAATGACCGCAGGTTGGCAAGATAGTTCAGGGACAAGTGCTCTAGCATGGAAGACACCACCTGAAGGGATTTCAAGTTGGAACATCTATTAATTCTCAGCCGCCTCAACTTCGGCATGGAACACTTCAAACGCACTATGTTTTTGGCCGGTAGACCATCCAACTCGAAATATTGCAGGGTTTTTGATTCAAGATATTGATAGC